TTCGCTCCGGATTAGAAGCGAGGGCCATTTGAACGAACCGCGGGGTTGATCCGGAATAAACTCGACCGAACAATCACCAATCCGTATCATCACAATCATCATCATTATTATCATCTTCCTTCCTTATAATCATGATTATTATAAATCGGACTTGGAGCCCGGTCGGGAAACATAGGCTGCGTCTTCACAGCAACACACAGCACAGTGTAGACTACCCGATAGGATTCGAATGCGGCTCAAACTGCAGTGTAGATGCCCGCGAGGTTTTCCTACCCGCGGGATTCCTTGGGCAAAAGGCGAGGCTGGATCTACACTGACTTCTATCCCAGGATTTGATCCGCTATCCACAAGGATGGTCCAAACATCCAGGCAATGTCCCCCGGGGCAACCTCCTTGCAGACGGCCAAGTCTTCCACACCAGAAACAACTTGCAGTTTCTTAAGTCACTCCTGACACGAGAAAAAAAAAGTTATGTTATGTTATGTTATGTTATGTTATGTTATGTTATGTTATGTTATGTTATGTTATGTTATGTTATGTTATGTTATGTTATGTTATGTTATGTTATGTTATAATGGTCCCCTGGGCAACGTCCTTGCAGACAGCCAATTTTCTCACACCAGAAGCGACTTGAAGTTTCCTAAGTCAAGCCTGACATGAGAAAATATATAAAAAACAAAATATTATATTATATTATATTATATTATATTATATTATATTATAATGGTTCCCTGGGCAACGTCCTTGCAGACGGCCAAGTCTCTCACAACAGAGGCGACTTGCAGTTTCTCAAGTCGCTCCTGACACAAAAACAAAATATTATATTATATTATATTATATTATATTATATTATATTATAATGGTTCCCTGGGCAACGTCCTTGCAGACGGCCAAGTCTCTCACAACAGAGGCGACTTGCAGTTTCTCAAGTCGCTCCTGACACAAAAACAAAATATTATATTATATTATATTATATTATAATGGTCCCCTGGGCAATGTCCTTGCAGACGGACAAGTCTCACAACAGTGTCTACTCCTGACACGAGAAAAATATATTTATATTATATTATATTATATTATATTATATTATATTATATTATATGGCTTTTGGCAACGTCCTTGGAGACGGCCAAGTCTCCCACAACAGAGGCGACTTGCAGTTTCTCAAGTCACTCCTGCGAGAAAAAAATATTATATTATATTATATTATATTTTATTTTATATTATATTATATTATATTGGTCCCCTGGGCAACGTCCTTGGAGACGGCCAAGTCTCCCACACCAGAAACAACTTGCAGTTTCTTAAGTCACTCCTGACACGAGAAAAAAAAATTATATTGTATTGTATTGTATTGTATTGTATTATATTATAATGGTCCCCTGGGCAACGTCCTTGCAGACGGCCAATTCTCTCACAACAGTGTCACTCCTGACACGAGAAAAATATATTATATTATATTATATTATATTATATTATATTATATTATAATGGTCCCCTGGGCAACGTCCTTGCAGACGGCCAAGTCTCCCACACCAGAAACAACTTACAGTTTCTTAAGTCACTCCTGACACGAGAAAAAAATGTATTGTATTATATTATATTATATTATATTAACGGTCCCCTGGGTAACGTCCTTGCAGACTGCCAATTCTCTCACACCAGAAGTGACTTGCAGTTTCTCAAGTCGCTCCTGAAACGAGGATCCCCCCCAGATTATCTCCTTTGGAGTGGATGAGAGGAGTCTACACTGCCAGATAACTCGGGATCAGAAGATAACCTGGGATAGATTCTGGGATAGAAGGCAGTGCAGATGCAGCCTGGGTTGGCGACCATTCCTGTGTTCTGATATGTGTTTCTGCCATGGAAATCTCCTCTGATTTGCCATTGAGGAGACCCTTTGGATTGGGGAAAACGAAAGTGAGACCCTTCCCTTCCCATTCTGGGCCTCAGAGGCCCCCACAACATCATCATCATTGTGATTATTATTATTATGTTTATTATGGTTTTTATTATTAAGTTTATTTTTATTATTTTGTTCGTTATGTTTTTTATTATTATGTTTATTGATGCCCTGCTTTTGTCGACTCAGAGCGGCTTTATCAAGTATTATTTTTAGTATTAGTATGGTAAAACAACAAAACACCCAGGCAACATCCCCCGGGCAACGTCCTTGCAGACAGCCAATTCTCTCACACCAGAAGCTTTCTCAAGTCGTTCGTGACAGGGGAAAAAAATATTATTATTATTATTATTATTATTATTATTATTATTATTATTACTCCCTTCTTTTGTTCACTATTTTCTACCAGTTGCAACACAGAAGAAGACTAAATTGATAAACTAAACCAAACCAGCCTTGCCCATGCTGATTGATTATCAGGAAATGTTTGATTTTAATAACTGTTTAATATAATATCATATAATTTTTTTTCTTGTGTCAGGAGAAACTGCAAGTCGCCTCTGTTGTGAGAGAATTGGCCGTCTGGAAGGACGTTGCCAAGGGGACCAATATAATATAATATAATATTTTTTCTCATGTCAGGAGCAACTTCAGAAACTGCAAGTCGCCTCTGTTGTGAGTGAATTGGCCATATGCAAGGACGTTGCCAAGGGGACCATTATAATATAATATAATATAATATAATATAATATAATATAATATAATATTTTTTCTTGTGTCAGGAGCGACTTGAAAAACTGCAAGTTGCTTCTGGTGAGAGAGAATTGGCCGTCTGCAAGGACATTATTTAGGGGACCATTATAATGCAATGTAATATAATATAATATATATTTTTCTCGTGTCAGGAGTGACTTGAGAAACTACAAGTTGCTTCTGGTGTGGGAGACTTGGCCATCTGTAAGTACGTTGCCCACGAAGCCAATATAATATAATATAATATAATATAATATAATATAATATAATATAATATAATATTTTTCTCGTGTCAGGAGCAACTTGAGAAACTACAAATTGCTTCTGGTGTTAGAGAATTGGCCGTCTGCAAGGACGTTGCCCAGGGGACATTGCCCGGATGCTTTACTATCATCCTTGTGGGAGGCTTCTCTCATGTCCATGCATGGGGAGCTGGAGCTGACAAAGGGCGCTCATCCACGCTCTCCCCAGATTCGAACCTGCGACCTGTCGGGCTTCAGTCCTGCCCACACAAGGGTCTAACCCTTGTATAATCCAGATGACATGCTTTGAACTGGATTACGTGGCAGTGTAGACGCCTATCTTCCAGTTCGAATCAGACCATAGTGTGTTGTGATGGGCTTGGCTAATCTGGATTATATGGCAGTGCAGACAGGGGCCTGCCTGGGGCCCCAGGTGAGTCTCCATTAGGGATCTCTACTCAATGGGAGCCAATCCTGTTTACTTTGTCTTGAAGGAAGGGAAGCGACACACACATTATCTCCTGAGTGGAATTACATTAAATTGAATGGCAGGCGGAATGAATGAATGAATGAATGAATGAATGATTGATTCCTGGATTGATTGATCAAGGCAACATACATCCATTCACCTGTTTAAATTAAGTTCTACAGTTCTAATGGACCGGGAGAGGCTTGGAATCAATGGGGGCCTCTCTCTCTCTTGACCCACCATTTAACTGGATTCAATGTGGCCCATTCACAGTACATAGTGACCCATGTGCCAGCAGGACCGATGACCAACAGGTCAGCCATTTGAATCTGGGGGAAGCGGGGTGAGCTCCCATCTGTCAGCTCCAGCTCCTTACATAGCAGCCCATGTGCCCGCAGGACTGATGACCAACAGGTCAGCCATTCAAATCTGGGGAAAGTGGGGTGAGCTCCTGTCTGTCAGTTCCAGCTCCCTACATAGCGACCCATTTGACGGCAGGACTGATGACCAACAGGTCAGCAATTCGAATCTGGGGAAAGTAGGGTGAGCTCCCATGTGTCAGCTCCAGCTCCTTACATAGTGGCCCATGTGCCGGCAGGACTGATGACCGACAGGTCAGCGGTTCAAATCTCGGGAAAGCGAGGTGAGCTCCTGTCTGTCAGCTCCAGCTCCCTACATAGTGACCCATGTGCCGGAAGGACTGATAACCGACAAGTCATCTGTTTGAATCTGGGGAAAGCGAGGTGAGCTCCTGTCTGTCAGTTCCATCCCCCTACATAGTGACCCATGTGCCGGCAGGACTGATGACCGATATATCAGCCGTTCAAGTCTGGGGGAAAGCGGGCTGAGCTCCCGTCTGTCAGCTCCAGCTCCTTACATAACATCCCATGTGCTGGCAGGACTGATGACCGACAGGTCAGCCATTCATATCTGGGGAGAGCAGGGTGAGCTCCTGTCTGTCAGCTCTAGCTTCCTACATAGTGACCCATGTGCTGGCAGGATTAGTGACCGACAGGTCAGTGGTTTGAATCTGGGGAATGTGGGGTGAGCTCCTGTCTGTCAGTTCCCGCTCCCTACATAGTGACTCATGTGCCAACAGGACTGATGACTGACAGGTCAGCGGTTCGAATCTAGGGAAAGTGGGCTGAGCTCCTGTCTGTCAGCTCCAGCTCCCCATGTGTGGACATGAGAGAAATCTCTCACAAGGATGGTAAAAAAACATCAAAACATCCAGGCAATGTCTCCTGGGCAATGTCCTTGCAGATGGCCATTTCTCTCACACCAGAAGCGACTTGCAGTTTCTCAAGTTACTCCTGACACAGAAAAAAATAATCTGGATTATATGGCAGTGAAGATCCAGCCTGGGACAGAACTATGGCAGTTAAAGGAGAATAACAACACTGTCCTTCTTTAATTGGATCTCACCTTCAGGGTCCCAGTCTTAATAAATGACCTGACCGAGTTCGTTCCTCAGTTCTTCACGAAATCATTTTAGACAACTGTTCTCCTGGGCGTAGCTAAAGTGCGTTCCTGTCTTCTGTCCTCTCAAGACAAGGGACTGAAAGGAAGAGACCCCGTTCCTCTCCTTCGGCCTCCTTCAGCCTTCCCTTTGCCTCTTTCTTTCCCTTTCCAGGGTTTCTTCAAGAGGACGGTGCAGAACAACAAGCACTACACATGTACGGAAAGCCAGAGCTGCAAGATCGACAAGACGCAGCGCAAGCGGTGCCCGTACTGCCGTTTCCAGAAGTGCCTGGCTGTGGGAATGAGGCTGGAAGGTGAGGAAGGACATGCTCTCGGTGGTGGAGTTGCCTACAGGCTGGTCATTAGGGGAGTTGTCATTTAAAAAGGGTGTATAGCAGGCGTGGGCAACCTTTGGCCCTCCAGGTGTTGTGGAAGTCAACTCCCCATTGTGTAATACTGGTGGAAAATACCATTCTAATGGACATGTGGTCACACATCTTCTAAAGCAGGCATGGGCATACTTCAGCCCTCCATGTGTTGTGGACTGCAACTCCCTATTATGTAAGACTGGTGGAAAATACAGTTCTAATGGACGTGTGATCACACACTTACTAAAACAGGCATGGGGATACTTCATCCCTCCAGGTTTTTTGAACTGCAACTCCCTATTTTGTAATATTGGTGGAAAATACAATTCTAATGGACATGTGGCCACACACCTACTATAACAGTCATGGGCAAACTTGGGCCCTTCAGGTGTTGTGGGCGTCAACTCCCTATTGTGTAACATTGGTGGAAAATACAATTCTAATGGACATGTGGTCACACACCTACTATAACAGGCCTGGGCAAACTTGGGCCCTCCAAGTGTTGTGGACGTCAACTCCCTATTGTGTAAGAGTGGTGGAAAATACAGTTCTAATGGACGTGTGGTCACACACCTACTAAAACAGGCCTGGGCAAACTTGGGCCCTCCAGGTGTTGTGGACTGCAACTCCTGCAATTCCTAACAGCCAGTAGGCTGTTAGAAATTGTGAGAGTTGAAGTCCAAAACATTTGACGGCCCAAGTTTGCCCATGCTTGATCTAGCTTTATTTAATGAATTTCCCTTGTACTATCTTACAGGTCCACCAAATGTGGAAGGAAGTGCCTTGCACCACCAGCATTCCCCTAGCTGGGTTTTATCCATTTTGGCTCTTGTCTCTGGCCTTATATAACATCTATAAATCATCTTACAGTGTTCTCTCGTCACTTTGTGGTTCACTTTTTGCGGACTCGCTGTTTCGTGGTTTTCCTTCCTTGCTACTCACCAGGCCGAGTCCTAGTTCTGCCACTGGGATCTGGCCCAGTGAGTAGCGAGTGAGCAAGGGAGGATGGGTGAGCGAGCAAGGGAGGGCCGCAAAGGCGGAAGCATCTTGCAGTGTTCTCTCACCACTTTGCAATTCACTTTTCGCGGATTCGCTCTTTCGCAGTTTTACTTTCTTGCTACTCACTGGACCGAGTTTTGATTCCGGCACTGGGACCTGGCTCAGTGAGTAGCGAGTGAGCAAGGGAGGGTGGATGAGCGAGCAAGGGAGGGCCGCAAAGGCAGAAACATCTTACAGTGTTCTCTCGCCACTTTGCGGTTCGCTTTTCATGGACTCGCTTTTTTGCGGTTTTACTTTGTTGCTACTCACCAGGCCAAGTCCTGGTTCTGCCACTGGGACCTGGCCCGGTGAGTAGCAATTGAGCAAGGGAGGGCGGGTGAGCGAGCAAGGGAGGGCCGCAAAGGCGGAAGCATCTTACAATGTTCTCTCGTCACTTTGCGGTTTGCTTTTCGCAGACTCGCTGTTTCACAGTTTTCCTTCCTTGCTACTCACCAGGCCGAGTCCTAGTTCTGCCACTGGGACCTGGCCTAGTGAGTAGTGAGTGAGCAAGGGAGGATGGGTTAGCGAGCAAGGGAGGGCCGCAAAGGCGGAAGCATCTTACAGTGTTCCCTTGCTACTTTGCGATTTGCTTTTCGCGGACTCACTGTTTCGTGGTTTTACTTTCTTGCTCCTCATTGGGTTCTGCTACCAGGACTCAGCCCAGAGAGTAGCGAGCGAGCAAGGGAGGGCTGCAAAGGCAGAAGCAGTGGCAGGAGCAGGAGCCTGGAAGAAAGAGGTGGCTAGGCTCCTGCTTCTACCGCCGCTACTGCCCTTGCCGCCCTCACTCACTTGCTAACCTGTCCTCACTCACTTGCTCACTCACTGGGTTGGGTCCGGCGGCAGAACCAGGACTTGGCCTGGTGAGTAGCGAATGAGCAAGGATGGGTGGGTGAGCAAGGGAGGGCCGCAAAGTCAGAAGCAGTTCTAATGTTTATAGCTTCCCTACTTTGCGGATTTTCACTTATCGCGGGTGCTCCTGTAACGTAACACCCGTGATAAGTGAGGGAGCACTGTATATATATTTTCCTCGATGGAGCCAACTTTTGAGTATTTAATTCCACTTTTCCCAAGCTGCTCCCATCTTAAGTAGCTGAGGGGGAAAAGGAAAGGGGCTGAGGCTGTTGGGAATTGTGGGAGTTGCGGTCAAAACACCTGGAGGGAGGGAGGGAGGGGGGAGGGCCAAGGTTTGCCTATGCCTGGGCTAGATCTTATTGGATGTCTGCTAAATTCTTTTCCATTCCAAAACTTTTCCAAAACTTCTCATCCGATCACATTCGTATCTTATTTCAAAATGACGTCATTTTTCCTCCCCTTCCCAAGTCTGGGGGAGAAAATGCTAAGTTTGGGTCTTGTTGCTGCCTGATGGTTGTGTGTGTGCGTAGGAGGCGAGAACTCCTTGGCTCCGAACAATAGAAAGTGGAAGCACATTCCTTTGCGGAAAGGAGACGAGGAGAAGGGAGGCTCTGCCGAGGAGGAGGAGGAGGAGGAGGAGGAGGGGGCCGGGGGTTTTATGTTTGTGTCTTGATATGTGTGTGTGTGTTTGTGTGTGGGGTGTGTGTGTGGGGGGGGGGCTTTGGGGGAGAGCTAGAATTGTCTTGGATCCAAAAAGAAGACAAAACACCTAGTTTTGCAATCAAATCTAGATACGCTTGTCCTGGATCCCAAAAGCCAAAATATTGGGGGTTTCATCTGTGTCCCTGACTGTATACAAGTTTGGGTAAATCCTCTCCTGGAAACCTCAAGGGAGTAAAATAGATCATCGGAACCTCCTGCTGAGTTAACATTTAAAAATACTTTTTACACACACACACACACACGTACGTGTGACCCCTGTAAGATTCACACTTCCCTTCAGTGACTGCAGCTGAAACAGTGGTTCCCAAGCTGTGGTCCTAAATACTCCACTGTTACTACACCATTGCAACGAGAGCAACTGGTCTCTTATTGTGCCAAGGCTTGTTAAATATGGTTTTCTGTGGGTGAGCAGATGGCGACTACTGGGTGGCATAGGCCCTGTATCAGAAACTAGAGCTGATGTGGTCTATCCAGTGCAGTTTTCTAAATCCAGCACCCCAAATCACCAAAGTAGACCAAAAACTGATTCGTAACCCTCTTGGTACTTATGTCAGAGAGTGGTCCCAGGTCAAAGTGATTCCTAGTTTTCTGTGGGTGAGCATATGGCGACTACTGGGTGGCATATGTCCTGTATCGGAAACTGGAGCTGAGGTGGTCTATCCAATGCAGTTTTCTGAATCAGCACCCCAAATCACCAAAGTAGACCAAAAACCAATTCATAACCCTTTTGGTACTCATGTTGGAGAGTGGTCCCAGGTCAAAGTGATCCCTAGTTTTCTGTGGGTGAGCATATAGCAACTACTGGATGGCATATATTTTGTATCGGAAACTAGAGCTGAGGTGGTCTATCCAATGCAGTTTTCTGAATCAGCACCCCAAATCACCAAAGTAGACCCCTAATTTTCTGTGTGTGAGCAGATGGCAACTACTGGGTGGCATATGTCCTGTATCGGAAATTAGAGCTGAGGTGGTCTAGCCAATGCTGTTTTCTGAATCAGCATCCCAAATCACCAACGTTGACCAAAAACTTATTCGTAACCCCCTTGGTACTTATGTCGGAGAGTGGTCCCAGGTCAAAGTGGTCCCTAGTTTTCTGTGGGCGAGCAGATGGCAACTACTAGGTGGCATATATTTTGTATAGGAAACTAGAGCTGAGGTGGTCTATCCAATGCAGTTTTCTGAATCAGAACCCTGAATAACCAAAGTAGACCAAAAACTGATTCGTAACCCTTTTGGTACTTATGTCAGAGTGTGGTCCCAGGTCAAAGTGGTCCCTAGTTTTCTGTGGGTGAGCAGATGGCAACTACTGGATTGCAATATTTTGTATCGGAAACTAGAGCTGATGTGGTCTATCCAATGCAGTTTTCTGAATCAGCACCCCAAATCACGAAACCCAATCTAAAGTTGACCAAAAACACATTTGTAACCCTTTTGGTACTCATGTTGGAGAGTGGTCCCTGGACAAATACTGGAAGGGTTTGACCCTGAGTTTGGGAGTTGTAGTTCACCTACATCCAGAGAGCTTTAAATGGTGGGTTGTGAATTTTCTCAATATTTTTAATGCTCAATGTATTGTCGAAGGCTTTCGTGGCTGGGATCACTGGGTTATTGTAGGTTTTTTCGGACTATATGGCCATGTTCTGGAGGCAATTTTTCTCCTGACGTTTTGCCTGCATCCATGGCAAGCATCCTCAGAGGTAGTGAGGTCTGGTTGGAAAAGCCAAGGAGCATTTTTAATGCTGTTTTAACATTGCAAGTCCTAAGTCTGCGTTCAGTGCCTCCCTTTTGCAGTCCTGGTCAATGCTTCCCCCTTTTTGCTTTCGTAAATACGGAGGCAGAAGCAGCTGGGTCCAGCACTGACCTTGAGAACACCTTGCGAGCAGAGATACCGAGTGGACTGTATGTGTGTGTGTGGATGTGGATGTTACCTAGAGGGAAATGGGAAAGTTCTGCAGATGATTGGGATGTCAACTCCCCCAAGTTTCAGCCAGCAAGACTAATGGTCAGGGACTTCTAGCCTTGTCAACCACTGACCACACCTAATAATAATAATAATAATAATAATAATAATAATAGTAGTATAATAACAACAACAACAACAACAACAACTAGCGGTCCCCTGCCACGCGTTGCTGTGGCTCAGTCTGGTGATCTGGAAAATAAAGTAATGAGAAAGTGTTGGTTTCTAATCTATGTAATGTCTTTATGCTTGTGAGTAAACAGTATTTCTTGCTGTTTCTTTGTCAGTGTTGATGTGGAGAGTGTCTGGTTTGCCCTCTGGAACATGCAACATATCATTGTCCTTCTTTAGGGGTCCCTTTCAAATCTATGATACTGCATCTGTCATATACATATGTGTGTGTGTGTGTGTGTGTGAATGACTGGATGGCCCTTTGTCAGGAGGGCTTTGATTATGTTTTCTTGCCCTGGAGAAGGGAGTTGGATTGGATGGCCTTAAGGCAGCATTTCTCAACCTGGGAAGTCATGGGAGTTCTGTGTGGGAAGTTTTCCCCAATTCTATCGTTGGTGGGGTTCAGAATGCTCCTTGATTGCAGGTGAACTGTGAGTCCCAGTGACTACAACTCCCAAATGTCAAGGTCTATTTCCCCCAAACCCCATCTGTGTTTATATTTCAGCATATGAGTATTTGTGCCAAGTTTGGTCCAGATCCATCATTGTTTGAGTCCACAGTGCTCTCTGGATGTAGGTGAACTACAACTCCCAAACTCAAGGTCAATGCCCACAAACCCTTCTAGTCTTTTCTGTTGGTCAGGGAGTTCTGTGTGCCAAGTTTGGTTCAATTCTCTCGTTGGTGGAGTTCAGAATGCTCTTTGATTGTAGGTGAACTATAAATCCCAGCAACTACAACTCCCAAATGACAAAATCATAATTTTTTGAGTGATGGTCACTCCTTGTGTTGTGAGACGTTTTGTTGCCAAATTTGGCGTGATTTCGTTCATTGGTTCTTTTGTTTTAAGGTACTCATTATGCACAGAGCATTTTTATATAGATAGATAGATAGATGGATGACCCGCTGATCCTGTGCTCGCTCCCACACTCCGCTGAATCCCAAATCAAGAAAACGTAGACATCTTTTTTCCATGACTGGAGGAGCCTGTTGGATACTTCCAGAGCCGGAAATGAAAGGAGAAGCCTCTGCCTTTGTCTGTGTATTTGTGTTTCATTGTATTTCATTGGAACAAGGCACTGAAAGTTTGCCTGTGTCTATTCATATGCTGTAATCTGCTCTGAGCCTCCTCGGGGAGAAGGGCAGAATATAAATAAAGTATTATTATTATTATTATTATTATTATTATTATTATTATTGCTGTGGCATACTGTGTTTTTGTGTCAGTAAATTTATTTATTTGTTTGTTTGTTTGTTTGTTTATTTATTTATTTATATTATGCTCAGAGCGGATTACAGGATATAAACAGAAACAGACAAACTTTCAGTGCCTTGTTCCAATGAAATACAATGAAACACAAATGCACAGACAAAGGCAGAGGCTTCTCCTTTCATTTCCGGCTCTGGAAGTATCCAACAGGCTCCTCCAGTCATGGAGAAAAGATGTCTAAGTTTTCTTGATTTGGGATTCAGCGGAGTGTGGGAGCGAGCACAGGATCCACGGGTCATCCATCCATCCATCCATCTCTTGGTTGTGAGCAGGCTCCCCCCGAATGGTCAGGAGGGCCAACTTTGTTCCATGTACTGCTTGTTCTGTACACGATGTGCTGCTGCAGCAGCGTGCAAATGATGTGCCGCAAGAGGCTCTTCTGGATGACACATGGTGGGCACATCCAGCGTTATGCAAAGCTCTCGAAGCTTACAGCCAACCTCTTTCGGACTGATTTGAGATGTCAACACAGACATCTCTCTGTCCCAGGAACTCAATAAGAAATAGTCCGTCCCCCCCGCTCTCTGCCCCTCGTTTCACCGTGCTTTTCTCTCCTTCCTCCCTTCTTTTCCTTCTAGCTGTCCGGGCAGATCGCATGCGGGGCGGACGCAACAAGTTTGGCCCCATGTACAAGCGCGACCGGGCGCTGAAGCAGCAGAAGAAGGCCCTCATCCGTGCCAATAGCTTCAAGCTCGAAGGGGCGGCCGTGGTCGTGCCTCCCCCACCGCCTCCTTCGGTGGCCTCGGTCGTCTCTCCGGCGCAGGCGGCAGACTACAGCGGCTCCCTCCCGGCCTCCCTCCACGCCTTGGCACATCACCACCACAATCACCACCACCACCACCCTCACCACCACCACCATCATCCGGGAGTGGTGTCGTCCTCCAAAGGGCCTCCTCCTCCTCCTCCTCCTCCTCCGCCACCGCCGCCCATCAACATCAGCACCAGCACTTCGGCCATGACTCCCGTCGATTACGAGCGCAGCCCGTACGGGACGCCCGCTTTGGCCGGCCATGGGGTCGCGCTCTCGGGCTTCCCCTACCCTCCGCCCTTCGCCAGCCGGGCCATCAAGTCCGAGTTCCCGGACCCGTACGCGGCACATCCCCACGAAGCGGCGGCCCCGGCTTACCCATACCCGGAGGCCTTTCCCGGAGGAGGAGGAGGAGGAGGAGGAGGAGGAGGAGAAGGAGGAGGAGGAGGCCCATCGTCCCCGGCCGCCCCGGCCCCCGAGGTGCCTGAGGTCATCCTGAAGCTGCTGCAGCTGGAGCCCGACGAGGTGCAGGTCAAGGGCCGCATCCTGAGCTGCCTCCAGCAGGAGCAGGGCAAGAGCCGCCCCCAGGAGAAGCTCAACACCTTTGGCCTCCTCTGCCGCATGGCCGACCAGACCCTCTTCGCCATCGTGGAGTGGGCACGCAGCTGCCTCTTCTTCAAGGAGCTGGAGGTGAGCAAGGGGCACCGGGGGTGGGTTCGGCCCAGCTCAGCACCTGGCTTTCCAGGTGTGTGGGATCCTGACTTCTCAGAGCTGGAGAAGGGAGAAAGTAGGCAGGCAGGGGTCCCAATCACACTCAAGCAACACTGGGTATGTACGTGAATACATAGAATAGAATAGAATAGAATAGAATAGAATAGAATAGAATAGAATAGAAAATAGTGTTATTGTCACTGTACTATTGCACAATGAAATTACATGCCTTCTCAGAGCTGGAGAAGGGAGAAAGTAGGCAGGTGGGAGTCCCAATGACACTCAAGCAACACCGGGTATGTACATGAATCTATAGAATAGAATAGAATAGAATAGAATAGTGTTATTGTCATTGTACTATTGCACAATGAAATTACATGCCTTCTCAGAGCCAGAGAAAGGAGAAAGAAGGCAGGCAGTGGTTCCAATGTCACTCAAACAACACTAGGTATATACACGAATCCATAGATTAGAATAGAATAGAATAGTGTTATTGTCACTGTACTATTGCACAATGAAATTACATGCCTTCTCAGAGCTGGAGAAGGGAGAAAGTAGGCAGGTGGGAGTCCCAATGACACTCAAGCAACACCGGGTATGTACATGAATCTATAGAATAGAATAGAATAGAATAGAATAGTGTTATTGTCATTGTACTATTGCACAATGAAATTACATGCCTTCTCAGAGCCAGAGAAAGGAGAAAGGAGGCAGGCAGTGCTCCCAATGTCACTCAAACAACACTAGGTATATACACGAATCCATAGAATAGAATAGAATAGAATAGAATAGAATAGAATAGTGTTATTGTCATTGTACTATTTCACAATGAAATTACAGGCCTTCTCAGAGCCAGAGAAGGGAGAAAGGAGGCAGGCAGTGGTCCGAGTGTCACTCAAACAAAACTAGATATATACACAAATTCATACACAAATCTAGAGATAAACTAGATATATACACAAATCCATAGAACAGAATAGAATAGAATAGTGTTGTTGTCATTGTACTATTGCACAATGAAATTACATGCCTTCTCAGAGCTGGAGAAGGGAGAAAGGAGGCAGGCAGTGGTCCGAGTGTCACTCAAACAAAACTATACACTAATTCATACACAAATCTAGATATAAACTAGATATATACACAAATCCATAGAACAGAATAGAATAGAATAGTGTTGTTGTCATTGTACTATTGCACAATGAAATTACATGCCTTCTCAGAGCTGGAGAAGGGAGAAAGGAGGCAGGCAGTGGTCCGAGTGTCACTCAAACAAAACTATACACTAATTCATACACAAATCTAGATATAAACTAGATATATACACAAATCCATAGAACAGAATAGAATAGAATAGAATAGTGTTGTTGTCATTGTACTATTGCACAATGAAATCACATGCCTTCTCAGAGCCGGAGAAGGGAGAAAGGAGGCAGGCAGTGGTCTGAGTGTCACTCAAACAACACTAAATATATACACGAATCCATAGAATAGGATAGAATAGGATAGGTGTTATTGTCATTATACTATTGCACAAATAAATTACATGCCTTCTCCAGCACACATCCCAAGCAACACACTACCGCACGTCTCCCAATGCCACATCAGTGCAAAGCCACGGAGATCAGCATCGCCACAGCTCTAGGATATAAGCTGCCTCTCCGTCTGCTTGTCCTTGCCTGTGGCAATAATGCCAGAACATGAGATGGATCCCCGAGAGCGCACCGAGAATGCGAATCCCCTTGGCGTGTATCTCCCCGAGCCATAAAAGGTGGCCGCGTGGGCTTGCGTGTGAAATGGACTCTGGCTTTTATATTGTCCCGCTAAACCTCTCTCCGCTTGCTTCCACTTCGGGAAGAGAATAAAACTGCCATCCTCGGCAATCAATACGTGTAACTCATTCCCAGACGCGGACAACATAAGGATCAGACGTGAGATAGAAGGACGGGGAGCCGGTTTCCTCCGGCAAGCAGAAGCCGGACCTCTGTTTTCCGCCATTCCATCCCTTCCAGCGGGAACGTAAGGGCGCTCCATGCAGTCATGCCAATGGCCGCGTGACCTTGGAGGTGTCTATGGACAACGCCGGCTCTTCGGCTTAGAAATGGAGATCAGCACCCACCCACAAGAGTCGGACACGAAAACCTTTACCTTTACCTATTGTTATTTTGTGGTTAATAGACAAAGGCACAATAATATTATTAATAACAACAACTAATAATAATATTGTCAATAATTAATATTATTGTATATTATTAATTAATAATATATTATATTATGATTATTATTAATAAGAGTCGGACACAAGACTTAATGTCAGGAGAAAACCTTTACGTCTACCTTTTGTTGTTATTTTGTGGTTAATAGAGACACAATAATAATATTATTATTACAATAATTAATATTAATCAATCTATATTTCTCCAACTCTGGGGTGTGGTGTTCATCTCCATTTCTAAGCCGAAGAGCTGGCGTTGTCCATAGACACCTCCAAAGTCATGTGGCCAGCATGACTGCATGGAGCTCCGTTATCTTCCCACCGGAGCAATACCTATTGATCTACTTAGATTTGCATGTTTTGAACTGCTAGGTTGGCAGAAGCTGGGGCTGACAGTGGAAGCTTACACTGCTCCCCAGATTCGAACCTGCGACCTTTCGGTCAACAATATATTATTATATATTATTAATTAATAATAATAATATGTTAATAATAATAATAATAATAAGAGTCAGACACAAGTAGACTTAATGTCAGGTGAAAACCTTTACCTCTACCTATTGTTGTTGTTGTTGTTTTATGTGGTTAATAGACAGAGACACAATAATAATAATAATAATAATAACAACAACAATTATTAATAATAAATATTATTATATAGTATTAATTTTTATATATTAATTAATAAAGATATTAATAATATGTTAATAATAATAATAAGAGTTGGACACGACTTGACATTTGTGGCTAATAGACAGAGACACAATAATAATAACAATAACAATAATTAATAATAATTAATATTATTATGTGGTATTAATTTTTATATATTAATTAATAAAAATATTAATAATATGTTAATAATAATAATAAGTCGGAAACGACTTGACATTTGTGGTTAATAGACAAAGACACAATAATAATAATAATAATAATAATAATTAATACTAATAATAAATATTATTATATAGTATTAATTTTTATATATTAATTAATAAAGATATTAATAATATTTTAATAATAATAATAAGAGTCGGAAACGACTTGACATTTTTGGTTAATAGACAGAGACACAATAATAATAATAATAATAATTAATACTAATAATAAATATTATTATGTGGTATTAATTTTTATATATTAATTAATAAAGATATTAATAATATGTTAATAATAATAGTAAGAGTCAGACACAACTGGACTTAATGTGAAGGAGAAACTTTTACCTTTACTATACTGTAATATTCTACATAATATACAATTATATGATTGCATGTTATTATTTTGTAGTATATTATTCGATTCATTTCAAAATATTCAAATATGTGGACATTAAATCAGGATTAAATGTAAATAGTATTAAAAAAATAATCCCAGTTGAAGACCATTGAAACGAATCTGCAAATAAAAACCACATAAAGAGCCAAGAGCCAGGAAGAGGGAGCCCAATGCATCTCGTTATTCCCGGTACTTGCCAAGCAGGGAAAGGCAACGTTACGTGACGGGTGAATAACATGGGTTGCCAGCCCAGGAATTGTGTCTGTGTGCGTGGGGAGTCGGGCTCATCTCYTGCACCTGTTTTCAAGGCCATTCCTTGCAGAAAAGCAGCCCTGGCTSAGAGGTGTGTTTTGCTAAACAGCCACAAATGCCGGCGGATGTCAGGTGGTGCRATACCAGTACTAGACAGTGTAATTTCTCCAKTGGTGTGGGGCGCAGGCACCCTGTGATAATGCGGCATGTCTCATTCAGAGCCACATCCACTGTTTTAGTGTGGTGAGATGTGTTCCACACTGGGCATGCACACTCAGTAGCAGAGTAGCATAGCGCAAGGGCAGRTGTCTTCACTGTGTCTGGTTGTGATCCCCAGGTTGTGCCRGTCAGCTGTCATATGATATTGTTTCTAGCGCCCACTTTTGGCTTGATGTTCAGACAGTGCTTCTTGTAGGTCAGAGCACAGTCCAGGGTCACTCCCCGGTATTTGGGTGCGCTGCAATGCTCCTGTGGGATTCCTTCCCAGGTAGAGCTCGGGATGCTTGTCTGTTCTTAAGGTGAAAAGCACATGTCTGTGTTTTAGATGGATTAGGGATCAGCTGGTTTTCCCTGTAATAGGCAGTAAGAGCACCTAGAGCTTCCGAGAGCTTCTGTTCTACCATCTCAAAGCTCCCTGCTTGAGCAGTAATGGCACGATCATCAGCATAGATGAAGCTCTCTCGTCCCTTCTGGCAGTGGCTGGTCATTTGTGTAGATGTTGAACATGGATGGAGCAAGCACGCTCCCCTGAGGCAGGCCGTTCTTCCGTTTACGCCATCTGCTTCTCTGGCCCTGAACTCAACAAAGAAGCTCCTGTTTGGTAGCAGGTTTCCTTGAGTGGTGAATGCATGGTCATCAGCATACATGAAACTCTGTCCCTTCTGGCAGTGGCTGGTCATTGGTGTAGATGTTGAACATGGATGGAGCAAGCACGCTCCCCTGAGGCAGGCCGTTCTTCTGTTTCCGCCATCTGCTTCTCTGGCCCTGGAACTCAACAAAAAAGCTCCTGTTTTGTAGCAGGTTTGAGCGGTGATGGCACGATCATCAGCATAGATGGAACTCTCTGTCCCTTCTGGCAGTGGCTGGTCATTTGTGTAGATGTTGAACATGGATGGAGCAAGCACGCTCCCCTGAGGCAGGCCGTTCTTCTGTTTCCGCCATCTGCTTCTCTGGCCCTGGAACTCAACAAAGAAGCTCCTGTTTTGTAGCAGGTTTCCTATGAAGCGGGTGAGGTGGT